TGTAGCAAATGCTATTGAACCACTTGATAATTGTTCAATAGGTCAATGATTAAGTGCTACTAATGTCTTTTGCCCCCTTGTCTTTGGATCAAAATCCTTTGCACCCTGACCCAAGACTCTGTGTAAATCATTCTCTTTCATCAAAAAATATATATTTTTCATGACGTCCACTTTAAAATCTTCCTCCTTAGCTAAACTACAAAACAACTCTAATTAGCTGTAGAAATCTTGATGACTTGAAGACAATTAGAAGAAAGGGAAATAATTTGTTTTCCTGTGTTTTAATGGTCCCACAGTGTGTTTGGAGTTGCATCAGCTGTCAGTCCAAGATGGGTCATGTCAGAGCTGGTGAGGCTGGGAGGTGAGGAGCAAGGTTGATCATCCAGGGTCAGTGTGGATCTCCTGAGGAGACACTCAGCATCAAGATCACTTGGAGAACACCTCTATCACCTCTTCTCTGAACTAAAAAATAGCCATCATTGAATTAAAACAAAAAAAGTACAAACTTTGAAGACTTGTTTTGAAACTGCCTTGAAGACAATTAAAGGAAGACAAAGAGATCCTGAGGGATTTCTGCATTTTAATGAGCCCCACAGTGTGTTTGCAGCCCAGCCCATGGTCCTGAGGTACTGAGAGAAGATTGAAGCAGCTGCTGAAGAAGTCAGAAGCCAAAGTCCAAGTGCCTTGAAGCATTGCTGGGCCCCACTGAGGGCAGGCACTGCCAAAGCCTCCCCAGGGACTCCTTGGAGCAGCTCCTTGGAGGCCAGGAGTGCAGGCAGACAAAGGCTCTGGGCAGGCCCCTGCAATGCTGAGCAAAGCCTGCCTTGGTTTTGTGGAGCACAAAGGCCAAGGCCTGAGCCCCAGGCCCTGGCCCAGCAGATCCTGTCCCTCCCGGCTGGCTCAGGGCTGTTTGGGGGCACTGGGATGGGAGGGGGAGGAACAACAAAGGCCAAAACTGGGCAACCCCTGCCAGGCTCCTGAGGGAGGGGCGAGGCAGAAACCAAGTGCAGAACCTGCCAGGCAAGTTGCTTGTGGTGGCCTGAGTGGCAGAGGCAGCTGCCAGAGGCAAGGGGACAAAGGCCTGGGTGCCTTTGGGCCTTGCAGCCCTGCCAGAGCCCTTGGCCATCTCTCCTGCAGGCTGTCCTGCCCTGGCCCTGCTGCTGCTCTGGCCTTGCAGGCTGCACACACCCCTCCTGCTTTCCCACCCCCTCCCAGCAGCATTTCTAGACCCTCCCTGATGGCTCTGCACCAGCTCTGGCTGTTCCCTGGAACACAAAGCCATGGGCTGATCCTGACTCCCTCTGGGTGACCTCTTGCAGCACAAGGGTCCCCGTTGAGTGACATTTCTTTTTCCTCACCTTCAGTCTGAACCTTCCATGCTACTCTTTGTGGAGATTTCATTCTATTTCCAATACAGAGAAAAGCTCCATCCTGTCAGATCTCCTCTAGACCCTCTCCAGTTCTTCCTCATTCCTCCAGAATGGGGAACCTCACAGACAGACAGACCAGTCCAGATGTGGTGACCCCAGGGCTGAGTCCAGGGGGGTGACAACTCCCTTGTCTGGGTGTCCACACTCCCCCCAAGGCAGCCCCATGTGCAGTTGGCCTTAAATCAAGGGGCCATTCTGATCCTTTGTAATGCCACGGAATCAAGTGGCATTGTGACACTGCAGGACCTCATGAAACCAAAGGAATGCTGAGACATTTCAGAGCCTCATGGAAACAAGGGGCCACAGTGATACTGAAGAGTCTCATGGCACCCACTGTGCCTCCCCAGAACTCCATGGAATCAAGCAGAGCCGCTGCCTCCCCCCCGCCGCCGCACGGACCGGAGTCGCCGGCTCTGCCCCGCTTGGACACCTCTGGAGTCAGCATTTTCTTGGGCAGCACAACTGATCTCAGACCAGAGAGTTTTCCAGATTTTGCTTTGCCCCCTCTCTCCCCTGGTTTTGTTTTTTGTTCTTTGTTCATTCAGGGGGAAAAGGGAGAAGGGAAACATGTTGATCCCTGTTTTCATCTGTTTACAAAAGAGAGTTGGGACAGGGGGAGAGAGGAGGCAATTTCTCTCTCTGTTGTAGCTTTGAACTGTTCTGTTGGTATTGCTGGTTTTGCTGCTGTATTTCTTGTCAGTGAACTGTTATTTTTTTTCACTTATACCTCTTTGTATTTTGTCTCCCTGTAGTGGTGGGGAATAAAAGAGGAGTGAATTCATTTTATGGGAGTTTCTGCCCTAATATGTGTCTTTAAACCAGGACAGGTTGCTCTAGGGCTCCCTGAAATGTGACATCATTCACAAAGGACTTGAAAACGCATTTTGTCCCAATGTACAGAGAGATAATAAAGATGTTCTGCAGTGGTGTTCAAGGGCTGGTCACTGAGGGATTTCATCCAGAAGTTGCTGCCAAGAGGACTTTGTACCATGGATTTGATTTGACACTCTTCATTCAGCCAACTTCCCACCCACCACATCTTCCACTTCTTCAGTCCAGCTCTCGCCAGTCTGGCCATAAGGAGACCACAGGAGACCATGTCAAGGGCCTTGATAAAGTCTGGGCACAGAACATCCCCTTCTTTTCCCTCCCACAGGGGTTCTGCAATCCCTGCCTTGTCCTTCCAATGCCTGAGAATGACTGCAGGAGGACTTGCCCTATCCCCTTCCCAGCCTGAGCAGTCTGGAACTCTCCCAACCCTCTTTGCTGCTGAAAAACCTCAATATGAGTAACTGCTCAGAGAATTTTGTATCTTTAAGCTGCAAAGTATTTGTTTATTCAACGTTGTGAGCAAGCCAGCTCGCGCTGGACAAGCTTACTCTACCTGAATGTGCAAAATAAAGCCATTTTATACACTTTAGATACATGGTTAAACCATTTAACATACATATTAATAAGTAAGCTAGTCTCTGGGTGGAGTCTTTCCAGGCATGCACAGTCTTCTACTCGGGGCTCTTCTCCTCAAGCCTTCATCCCTCTGGTGGTCGCCATGGATATCTTCCTTGATTTGACCTCTTCAATTTTCTTTGTCAGGTGACCTTAATTCTTCAAGCTTGCAAAACCCTGGCTTTGGGCCTTCTGTATCTTATTCAAATGTCTAGTTTACCTAATTTATTACCATGTGTGTACTACTCCTTTCTATAATAAGTCCTTTGGTCCAGTGAGCAGAACAGAACATGGTATTAACCAGTGCTCCTGAAATGTTCTTCTAGCAACACAGGTATTGGGGTTTCTTAGCAGGCCAAGATATCTCAGTTAACTCTTTTAGGCCTGGCTCTTGTTGCAGTGGCTGTGCTGATTTCCAGAGGCTTCTGGCTTCCCAGGCAAAGCCAAGGCAAGAGCAGGTGGGAAGGGGCTGCGCTGCTGCTGCTCCTGCCCGAGAGCCCCGGCTGGGCCGGGGACGGAGCCCAGGGCGCTGCAGCTCGGCCTCCTCCAGAGCCGGGGGGCTTTGGAACCAGGAATGACAGGGGGAAACAAAGGGGGCTGGGGGGCTGCACTGATGGTCACACTCGGGCCACCGTCAGCAGAGAGCTTCAGCCCCCCCAAATTAAAGCAGAGGGAAATGGTGCAAACTGTTTCATTTCAACCTTTCTTTACTCATTGATATAAAATGACCCAACTAAAAGGAGGACAAGCAGGCCCCGATCCCTTCTCCTTTGGGAGAATCCCCACATCTGGTGCTGTGAGGGGCTGTAAAGGGCCACGAGGGGCTGTGAGGGGCCATGAGGGGCTGTGAGGGGCTGTGAGGGGCTGTGAGGGACCATGAGGGACCATGAGAGGCTGTGAGGGGCCATGAGGGGCTGTGAGGGGTTGTGAGAGCCTGTGAGGGGCCATGAGAGGCCATGAGGGCCTGTGAGAAGCCATGAGGGGTGTGAGGGGCTGTGAGGGGCCATGAGGGGCCATGAGGGCCTGTGAGGGGCCATGAGGGGCTGTGAGGGGCTGTAAGGGGCTGTGAGGGGCCATGAAGCACCGTTGTTGCCTAAAACTAGCTCTTAAAGAAACCTCGAAGACTCAATTTGTCAGTTTTAATAGGCAGGCATTTCTATTACAACACACTGCATGATTTCAGCAAACCGGGTGCCCTGGGAATCAGTTCACCAAAGTGAACACAGAGGTATCTTCACTCCTGCTGCTATGTCAGCATTACATGGTTATCCAGTTTTTGTTCCCTGCATTCCTGTTACATATTCATGGCATTCACACACACACCAGACCTGCAGCTCCCAAAATTTATTAAGATATATACATATCCTTGTAAGGTCTCTGAGGGGCTTCATCAAGCATCTTTGGTGGTCTTCTCTGTTTGGAGTCCCCAAAATTCCAGGTGACTGCCTTATGAACTTCTTTGAGACAGTATTCCTGGTTATAGATACACCTGTTGCTTCAGCTCCCTTCTTCATTGTTCTCTCACCGTGCTTGGCTGATTTCTGTAAACTGCACACAGTAATTTTCTATGACAGATTTTGTTGCAAAAACTATTAGTTCTTGTTACATCTCTACACCCCAACATCAAACCGCTCAGGTGTTACAAATGGGTGCACAAGGAGAGCATGGAAGTAGAAAGAGAGCAGCTCAGAATAAGTTCTGGTGCTCCCTGGCAGTGCTGCTGTGCTGGGACTCCTTTTCTTTCTGCATCTGCACACAGGGACAGTCCCTGCTACTTCAAAGGTACCAGAGGAAGGATTTCATCCAGAAAAGTTTCTGCAAGAAAATTAGGGTTTTTTAAATGCATAAATTACAATTCCTCATTTAGACAGTATCAGAATCAAATTCAATAGTAGACAATGAATTAGAAATGGCAGGAAGAATAACATTTTCTTTTGTGGAAAACAATATTGCAAGAAAAAAGAGAACAGCTCCCACAAATTATTGCCATAAGAAACCTGAGAAGGAAGGCAGGGCCATCCATTCTGAATGTTATGGAGCAGAAAACAGAAACATTTTTGCTTCTGAAAAACATCAAGTCATCATTTTCCTCAGGGCGTCCTTGAGCTCCTGGTTCCTCAGGCTGTAGATGAGGGGGTTCAGTGCTGGAGGCACCACCGAGTAAAGAACTGACACCACCAGGTCCAGGGATGGGGAGGAGATGGAGGGGGGCTTCAGGTAGGCAAATATGGCAGTGCTGAGGAACAGGGAGACCACAGCCAGGTGAGGGAGGCACGTGGAAAAGGCTTTGTGCCGTCCCTGCTGAGAGGGGATCCTCAGCACAGCCCTGAAGATCTGCACATAGGAGAAAACAAAGAAAATGAAACAACCAACTGATGAACTGGCAGTAATCACAAGAATGCCAGTTTCCCTGAGGTAACCTGAGTGTGAGCAGGAGAGCTTGAGGATGGCAGGGATTTCACAGAAGAACTGGCCCAGGGCATTGCCCTGGCACAGGGGCAGGGAAAATGTATTGGCTGTGTGCAGCAGAGCATTGAGAAACCCAGCAGCCCAGGCAGCTGCTGCCATGTGGGCACAAGCTCTGCTGCCCAGGAGGGTCCCGTAGTGCAGGGGTTTGCAGATGGCAACGTAGCGGTCGTAGCACATGATGGTGAGGAGATAAAACTCTGTTGCCATGAAAAAGAAAAGTAAAAAGAGCTGTGCAGCACATCCTGTGTAGGAGATGGTTGTGGTGTTCTGGAGGGAATTGTGCATGGCTTTGGGGACAGTGGTGCAGATGCAGCCCAGGTCTGTGAGGGAGAGGTTGAGCAGGAAGAAGCCCATGGGGGTGTGCAGGTGGTGGTCACAGGCTACGGCGCTGAGGATGAGGCCGTTGGCCAGGAGGGCAGCCAGGGAGATGGCCAGGAAGAGCCAGAAGTGCAGGAGCTGCAGCTCCCTCCTGTCTGCGAATGCCAGGAGGAGGAACTGGGTGATGGAGCTGCTGTTGGACATTTGCTGATTCGTATCACAGGGTCTGTTCAGAAAAGGAAGCCACAGGGTAGAATTACAACAGCCACCTCTGACAATATCACTCCAGATTTCAATGTAATTGATTTCAAGATTTAATCAAATTTCTGTCTAATATGTGCTGGCAGAGGGTTCTGTGTGGCAGGAGCTCTTGTCATGTACTGCCAAGGAGTTCAATGTGCCCTTCCAGGCCAGCACTGTACTTGTGCTGGACAGAGCAGGACAGGAGCCCTCCCGCAGAGAAGCCAAGGGCTGGGACAGGAGAGTGCCCACCCCCAAAGGAAGGCTCAGAACTGCCCAGGATCCTGCTCAGACAGAGCTGGGCCTTGCTGGGGGCAGCTCCAAGCCCAGCAGCACAGACCCAGCAGAGAGGGCAGGGTCCTGCAGGGGAGAAGTTTTCCAGGTGGAGGCAGCTCCTTGACCAGCACACAGTGCCCAGCACAGCTGCAGGGAAGGGCCCCCAAAGCTGCCTGAACGCCCCCTCCCCCAGGCCTTGGGGGCACTTGCCCCCCACTCCCTGCCCAGGGCTCTGCTGCCTGGAGCTGTCCCTGCCAGCAGCTGCTTCCCTGGGCCCAGGGCTGGGCCCTGCCAGTGCTGCCAAAGCCCAGCCCAGCCCTGGGGACTCAGCTCTGCCCTGCAGAGCCCTCCCAGCAGCACAGGGCACTGCCCAGGGGCATCTCTGGCTGGGCAGGCTCTGATGGCAATGTCAGGGCAACCCTGAGGAGGCTGGAAAAGTGACACTGCTACTGTCTATAAGACAGTTTTGATGTCTGATACTCTCATCTTCAGTCTCCTCTAATCTAACAGAGTTCAAGTTTCAGTGTCTCCTCCTGTGCTCAGAGATTCATTTCCCTGTCACAGTCAGCACCCAGACAACCCAGAGTATAACACTGAAGGAACTGGTTCCTTCTCTTTAAGGTACCCCCTGCCTGTCTGTGCCTCTTGCAAATACCTTCTGGGAAATTTCCTGCTTTGATCTGGAGCTGTGACCAGCCCTCATCCCTGCAGCCCACTTTGGAGATCAGAAGGACTCTGCCCTGCTCTGCCCTCCCAGGAGTTGTTCCTTCCCCACAGCCCTTCTCCCCCAGCCCCGTGGCAGCTCCTTGGCCGGGCTGAGAGCTGACCCTGGCAGGCAGCAGAGTCCCTGCCCAGCACACAGAGCCCTGGGGGCAGGACCCTGCTCTGCACCACAGCCCTGGGCACCCCTGGCTGCACCCCCACCTTCCCACCCCACAGCCAGCCCTGGCACAGGGGACCTTCTGGCCCTGGGCCTCTGATGGGGCAGCAGCAAGTCCTGCTCTGCAGCAGCTTCTCCTGCTGCACCCCAGCAAATCCAGCAGAGCCATCCTGACCGCTCCTGCCACTGCTGCCATTTGGCAG